AGCCCCCGGCCCCCTGAGCTTTGTGTGCCTGCCCCGGCTCCTTCCTGTTTGTGACTGCACAAAGGTCAGGGGAACTTCCCATTTTCACTTCTCCTTTCTGCCCCGCTGCAGTGCCAGGTGAGCTACAGGGGCACCCAAATGCCCTCGGCTGGCAGAGAGCTCCTGGCACCCTGCAGATCCTCAGCCTGGGAATGCTCCGTCCCAACAGAGGGACAGCAGGGACAGGAAGATTTGGAATCACTGGGGCTGGAAAAGCCCTGTGAGGCCACCACTGCCCTGTCCCCAAGTGCCACATCCCCATGGACTTTAAATCCCTGCAGGGATGGGGACCCAGCGCTGCCCTGGGCAGCACCTCCCATGCCTGGCCACCCTTTCCATGGAGAGATTTTCCCAGATATCCAACCCAAACTTCCCCTGGTGCCACCTGAGGCCATTCCGTCCTGTCCCTGGTTCTGGCTCTGTCACACCTCACTGGTGAGCCACACTCATCCCCAACTCCCACAGAATGGGGGGAAAAAGGACATGGAATTCCAGCTGCCCCCCCAGGAGAGCAGGCTGAGCTGGGAAAAAGCACCAGGGCTGGGTTATTATTTCATTTCTGTGCATCACAGCCTCTGTGAACAACGGTGACCTGGGGTCAGAAGTTTCCTGGCAGGGGCAGGGGCTCTGTGGGACCCCTGTCCCCCCGCCCTGGGAAGAGCTGGATCTGCTCCCACTGCTCATCCCTGGGGCTGATGCCCTGGGTGGGTTTAGGGCTGGTGGAAATCCCCCTGAAATCCCAGCTCCGTGGCCTCAGTGGGAAGTGATGTCCTTGGGGACAGGGCCAGCTGTCACTCAGGGCTGTGGTGACATCTGTGGTTAATGGTGGCAGCAGGGAGGGGACGGATCCGTGTGCATCCCTGCCCATCCCCTGTGCATCCCTGAGCATCCCCTGTGCATCCCTGAGCATCCCCGTCCCAGGAGGGTGCAGACCCCGAGCTGGGGTCCCTCCCCTTCACCCCACACGCACCAGGAGCTGCTGGGAGCCCCTGGAGGTGACCTGGGAGGGGGCACAGCCCCACCAGCTCCACTGCAGAGTGGGGAGGAAGCGTCACATCCCTGCTCCAGCTTCCCATGCTGAAGGAATGCGAGCCAGTCCAGCTCTGGGTGTGAGGGTGCTGCAGCACTGGAATCCTCATCCCCTGAGGAACAGAGGACACTGAGCCAGCCAATGTCCCTGCAAACAGAGGGAAAGCAGAAGGGTCCACGTGGGTTTTGTGCTGTAGCATTTTCTGGCGCTGCTGCTCCCTCTCGGCTTCATGTTTTCCCCCCTGAAATGCCGATGGTTTTCCAGCCCCATCATCCCTTTCTCATCCCTTTCTCATCCCTTTCCCATCCCTTTCCCATCCCTTTCCCATCCCTGCACATCCCCAGGAGCCGCAGGCAGGGCACAGCTGCCACAGCCCAGGGATGTGGGAAGGATGAGTTGGGGTGAAGGGAGGATGGTTTAAATTGAAAGGGGAGAGATTTAGATGGGAGATTGGGAATTAGGAATTGTTCCCTGGCAGGGTGGGCAGCCCTGGCACAGGTGCCCAGAGCAGCTGGGGCTGCCCCTGGATCCCTGGCAGTGCCCAAGGCCAGGCTGGATGGGGCTGGAGCACCTGGGACAATGGGAGGTGTCCCTGCCATGGCAGGGGTGCCACTGGGTGGGATTCAAAGCCCTTCCAACACAAACCAGTTCTGGGATTCTGTTAATCCACTGGGAAAGACAAATCACTAGTGGCCCTTCGAGGAGTTTCCACCAGGGAATTTTCACCAAGGAGTTTCAGAGGTTCAAACCCTGGGAGAATCCCCCAGGATCCACGGGCTGGAGCCCCTTCTGCTGGGACAGCAGGGGTGTGACAGGAGGTGGCCTGGCCCCACGGAGGGAATGCAGGATGAGATCCACGCTGGTTTTCCATGACTGCGCTCGGAGGCAGCGGATGCAGGGAAAGCAGGGCAGCCCCAGGGGACAGGGCCGGTGTCACCCGCGGCGAGGGCGGCAGCGCGGCCCCGCTCCCCTGCCCTGGCACAGGATGTTTTTTACTGGAAAGCCGCTTGTTTTGGGTCAGGCCGGGACATGAAAGCGGCCGAGGGCCGGGCCAGCGCTTCCTGTCTGCGCTGCCTTCCTGTCGCCTGCGCTGCCACAGAGGAAGGACGAGGGCCCGGCGTGCCAGGGACGGTGCCCGCGCCACCGGGAACGCTCCTGTGCCACCCTGAGGAGCGGCTCCAGCAGGGACACTGGGAATGCAGGCCCTGGAGCTGGCCATGGGAGCTTCTGGGCACTGGTCATGGAGATTCTGGGTTTGGGACATGGGAATTCTGGGTTTGGGACATGGAAGGTTCTGGTTTCAGATGTTGGAGGCTCTGGGTTTAGGGCATTGAAGGTTCTGAGTTTAGGGCATGGAAGGTTCAGGGTTTAGCACATGGAAGGGTTCTGGGTTTAGGACATTCTGCATTTAGGATATTGGAGGTTCTGGGTTTCAGCCACAGGAGGATTTTGCGTTTTGGCTGTAGGAGGGCTCTGGAATTGAACCATGGGAGGGTTCTGGGTTTAGGACATGGGAGGTTTTGGGTTTCAGCCATTGGAGGATTTGGGGTTTGGGTTCCAGGAGTGTTCTGGGTCTCAGCTATGGGAGATTCTGGGGTATGGCCACAGGAGGGTTCTGGGTTTTGGCTGTAGGAGGGTCCTGGGCTTTGGCAAAGGAAAAGGATTTCAGCTGTAGGAGGTTCTGCATTTCAGCTGTGAAACATCTTGGATTTTGGGTGTGGGAGGTTTTGGATTTTGGCCAAGGAAGGTTCTGGATTTTAGCCCCAGGAGGGTTCTGGGATTGAGCCCTTGGAGGGTTCTGGGTTTGGAGGGTCCCATTTTCTGTCCCCCGAGCAGTGGTGGCACAGCCCACATTGCCTTGTTGACAAAAGCCCCCCAGAGAGCTGCAGGCTGGGTCATGCTTTCATTTATTCACTTCATATAAAAATCTCTTAAGAATGCGTCTGAACACAATATAGAATACTATAACATACATAGTGTGAAACTTTGGGGAACAATAAAATAACCACCTGGAACAATGCAGTGTTCAACAGACAAACAAACCCATTGATCATGCACAACTGTGCTATTGTCATGAACTAATTAGTCACGAGTTGGACCAAAAAGCTTGAAACATATTTTACAAACTGAGATTGACACCGCTCACGATGCCGGACAAGCTTTGTCAGAGGAAGTTTCACAGCACAATTATTACATCAGTTCACATTTTTGTTTTGTCATAGAGATTCACATTGGGTTGTTCGGAAATTGGAACATTGTGACATTGAAAAGCCGGCCCGGGCGCGGGGAGTTCTTTGTTGGGTTCCCCCTCTCTGCGTTCCTGGCAGATTCCCAAATCCGCTGCCCTGGGATGCGGTGTCCCCTCCCCGCGGGCGGCTGCCACCCGAATGCCCTTCCTGGGTTGTGTCTGTCTCTTCAGCTATGTTCAGGTTCTTGGACTTTATGCAATACAAAAGGTTACAAGAAAAAAAAGGCAACTCTTATTCCGAGTTTTCTACCCCATTAACATCGCCGCCGACAGGCGATGCTAATTCATATAAATTAATAACTTACAAAACATTACAGTATGTACAGTAGGTAATAAATACACTGTTATAAACAGTAATGGAGGTGGTAGAGCTCGAGGCAGTGCAGGAGGAGGAGGAGGATGGTGGACCTAAACCTAGGGAAGGTGGACGAGAGGCCAGAGAAACACAAAGATCCGAGCGTGCAAATTCCAGGGAGCTGCCGAGGGGGAAGGCGTGTCACACACACTGCCTTGCCGCGCTTGCTCAGGGATGGACCGAGCTGTGCCAGGGAAGAAAACCTGCCCTCTGTCCTGCTCACCACAAACCCAAACCCCGGGGAGGAAAAAAACTCCCGCTGTTGCCAGCGAGGGAACGGCGCCCGGCGGCACCGAGTGACTCCCAACGGGTCACCGGGGGGATTAGAACACACTGAAGGTGCAGTAATGCAAAGCAGAGGGTTTCCCCTTCTGTTTAGTCTGTCAAAGTGATTAACTGCAATAAAGTGACAGGTATTGCCCACAAAAAAAAAGGAAGACTGCTTCTGGTAACAGGAAGAATCCAAAAAGTAGCCGTCAATTCCGAAACACCTTGTGTCGCTTTTGAACTACCAAGCTCCGTGTGTTGGATTAAGAGACTCTTGAAAAGACATGAAAGTGTTTACAAAGAAGGCACACAGGTCTGCAGACAGGTGGACAGGTTGGATATGAGTTATTGATCAGTAGTTTCTATCAGTCTAACTGGTATAAACTCCAAAACTAACAGTATAAAATCTCTCAGTTGTGTGTCAGCGCCGCCTCGGCCCGACCCAAGCCAGCTCCAGGCCCACGCGGTGCTCTCGGCTGACGAGGCTCAAACCACAACGCAAATCACCCGTGCATTTCCTGAGCAATCACTCCCTACCCCATCTGTAACCCTGACTCCAATCTCAAGTAGCTGGAGGATCTGCCAGCCCCGTGGCAGAGGCTCAGCCCCGCTGCGGAGGCCGTCGGAGACCGCTCGCAAGCTCCGCAAGTGTTTAAAAGCCACTCCCGCGGGGCCGGGCCATTATGTGTCCACAGGAGATGTGTCTTCTGTCACAATCTCGATGGTGGCCTCCCTCTGGGGCTCCTCCTCCCCGGGCTGGGCCACGCACAGCGTCTCTGTATTGCTGAAGTAGCCGAGGCTCTCGCCGTCCTTCTCGGGCCCGTCGGAATCCTCCTCCTCCAGCGTCAGTTCAAACTGGAACTTCTCCATCAGGCCCTGGCAGTCCTGGCCCCGCTCCTCCAGGGGAGGGGATGGGCTCTGAGGTATCATGCTCTGGTACCAGTTCCTGTTGTCCTCCAGAGTGTCCAGGATGTCCTGGGCGTCGGGCTGCACCAGGTCAGCCCACGTCTCCCACAGAGGATGGACGATGTAGTCGATGAATCCCACCTGGAAAACAAAGGGGCACACACACTTAGGGCAAGGGAACAACCTGCAAAAGGTGGACGTCTGAAAAGTTCATATTATATTCGTTTTACAAGCAGAACACCAGGAGCAAGGCCCCAAACCAGCACAGCCTAACGATCACATTATCACACCCAATTATCTGATACCCAGAGCTGCACCCACACCCTGTTGGGTTGGGCTGATGTCTTGTCTAAAATCAAACCTTGGAGGAAGTTTCTCTAAAAGCAGGAGCCAGCAGGAGATTCAGGGGACAGAGCCCTGGGCCGATCCCCCAGTGTGGGCAGCAGAGAAGGAGAGGGAGAATCCTGCTCCTCTGCCCTGCTCAGGTGAGGCCCCACCTGCAGGGGACAACACCAGCAGCACCTGGAGAGAGCCCAGAGGAAGCCCTGGAGCTGCTGCAGGGCTGGAGCCCCTCTGGAGCCAGGCTGGGACACCTGGGGGTGCTCACCTGGAGAGGAGAAGGATCCAGGGAGAGCTCAGAGCC